ATAATTTTGTTTCGAATTGGAAAATGCATATTGAATCATATGCATTTTGGGGGCCGGTAATGTTGCGTCTTTATGTGTAATTTTCTATTATTATTAGTATTATTATTGTTGGCATGGAGCGACTCCTAAGGGCGCATGCTCAAGACTCGATTTGAGGTATGATTATCCATCTAAACCATATTAAATAAGGGTTGGGTTGATTCAGAAGTGAACATTTCAAGCTCTGATTCAAATGATTTACATAGGATATCGAAACAATTTCCTGAATTGAATTTCATTTACAAGTCAGCAAAATACAAACATCGCCGTCTTGTAGAAACTAAGAAAAGCTTGTTACATGAAAATAGAATATTTAATACCAACAACTTGAATAAAACATGTTGGACTATAGTCAAGCAGTTAACCAAAAAGCTAATTTTCCGAATAATACTTCTCTTTCCGTTGACGGTGGAGAGCCTATAGAGAGTTCCGAGACAGTGGCAAATCTGTTCAACAATTTTTTCAAACAAGTGACATACGATGTAATAAACAACATTCCACAAACAAAAAAATATGATGTTGATACAGATGATTGTGTTGATATTAATCTAAAAATGAATCTCTATACATTCACAAATGTCGAATTATACGAATTATTGATATCTCGTTTGAAATCTTCTGGTTTTGATGAATTTCCGGCTTTCATTGTTAAAACTGTGTTACATCACATTATTTCTCCTGTGACTTACCTGATCGATGTATCTTTCGCCACAGAATACAACATCCAATAATATGAGCAATTGTTTTCCGAATTATTTTGAAACTGATGATGGAACTCGGGTTCATGGTGGTCCTGTTATTCCTCGAATCTTCAATGATTATTTCATTGACTCTGTAAATTCTCTAATCAATGATTCTGAGCCTGCTGGTGAACATCATCACGATATAAAAACAAACTCTTTTTTTCTTCATCCTTTAGACGAAACTTAACTTCTTGATATCATCAAGTCCATATCGTCTAAGAACTCTAGTGGCATTGATGAATTACCAGGTAGAGTATTGTTGTATGTTGTTGAACCAATCATTGAACCACTTACATACCTACTTAATCTCTCTTTCCTTGAGGGTTCACTTTCCTCGTGTCTTAAACATGCTGTTGTAGTTCCTGTTCACAAGAAAAATGATGAGCACTCCAACTACAGGGGTATTGCATAGCTGTCTTCATTTTCAAAAATTTTCGAAAAATCCTATCTGCTCATTCTGTAAAAAGTATAACCTACTCGCAAAGAGCCAATATGGATTCCAATCTGGTTTATCCACCCTCTGGTCTGGTCAATCATTTTTTATCCAAATTTGAAAATGGCGAAAAATCGATCAGTATTCTATTTGATTTGTCACGTGCATTTGATACCATCAACCATCAACTTCTCCACGATAAACTTCATGATACTGGAATTCGCGGCCAAAGTCTAAAATGTATTAAGACTTATCTGACTGGCAGATCACAATCTGTTAAGGTTAGGCTCAAATCTGGAATATATCATTCTGAAAATCGTAACATATTAACAGGTGTTCCCCAAGGTAGTGTCCTAGGTCCTACACTCTTTCTCTTATTCGTCAACGACATCTCTAGTATTAATCAACAACATTGTACTGTACAGTCTGCTGATAATACTTTCTTCTTATTGAGTTCTTCTTCTTGTGAAGGGTCATCTGACCAGGCTGATATTGCAGTTGCTAATATGCTTAATTACTGCGCCAGAAACGGCCTCGTACTAAATAGCAATAAATCTAATAAATCAATATCATTGTTTCCTCGCTGGACTGCAGTATATTGGTTAGAGCTAATACTAAATCTATTGTGCAGAAAAAATCAGTCAAATTCTTAGGGTTGAACATTGACTCCCAATTATCCTGGAATGATCATATTGACTCTACTTCTATAAAATTATCCAAGCATTGTTTCGTTATTTGGAATCTCAGTAATTCTGTCCCCATAAATATTTTATTAAGCTACTACTATGCCTATGTTCACTCAAGTCTAAATTATTGCTTAGTCTGCTACGGTAACAGCAGCNTTAAAGTTCATTTCTTTAGATTTGTTTACTGCCAGTCTTCAAGCATAACCCACTAATAAGAAAGTTTTTCTTCCTTATTCAGAGGAATCGGGCAAATTTCGGATATGCAGTTGATTAGTACTTCGTCCACTAGATGGAGAGACATTTTTGTTGTTCGCTCCAACTTAAGACGGGTAATGAAATACTCTGAAAGAATTTCGATTTTCAATTATGGAATATCATTGACTTTAAGTCGATGATGGTCACTATCTTTCACTGACGAGTGGCTAAGGAGCTCAAAACCGGTCTGCAAGTGTGCCCGTTCCAAAATTGGGGGTCGAGTCTTTCAGTTGTATTGCCAATTGGATATGCAGAAGAGTCCTGCCCTGACGCCTGTCGGATATAATCCAACGCCATTCGTGATATAAGCCACGGGAGTAGTTGTTTTCTGATAGGTGTCAGTCCATTCAACCTACTGTGTAGGTATATCCGAGACTGGCTTGAACGTTTAAAGTGTAATAAATGACCGTCGGGTCTGAATTGGCGATCTCTATATACTATTAATGATATATAGTAATCATCCCAGTTTACTCGTACCAGAAAAATACACCCCTTGTATAAAGGATCGTTCAGCCGAAGGTATTTATTTTTTAATTTAGTTTGGTAGCGTGAGAGTTGCTGTCAGCAGATCAGAAAAAGTTTAAAATCCGTCCTGATCACACGGATTGAGAATTAGTAGGCAACTTGGTCAACAGTTGAATTTTTTTTCACCTCCTAATCTTCGTAGAGCAATGGCTTGGTTATGCCACCAATTATATCCTCAGAGACTGGATTCGGCCACGGCTTAAATGCGTGGTCTTTTAGGGGTTTGAGGGAATGAAATAATTGTTGCGTCTTTATTTGTAATTTTCTATTATTATTGTTGGCATGGAGCGACTCCTAAGGGCGCATGCTCGAAATTCGATTTAAAGTATGATTATCCATCTTAACCATATCAATAGAGACCTACCTACGATCTCATACTAAGTACGCTACGTGAATCGCTATTATTTCTGCTAATTACTTATTTCGCCGAGTGTGCTCTAGACTCTGTGTCATCTTCGACTGTTTGGTAACACATTTTAACTTCCCGTTTTGTTGTACAATCCAGTGAAGCTGAAGAAAGAACACTCCAAGAAAGGGCCCTTTCAGAAGCAGGGATTTGTGCGAGGAATTCGGTGAGTTCGCTTTATGCCACAATTCTTACAGTCCACTCTTGTTTTCATTTTTATTATTTTTTAAGTATTCGAAGACGCGACATTGGTCCTTCGAGCCGGATTGGTTTGAAAATATATTTTTTTTATCAAACCAATTTTTTGTTTTGATATCGCACACGTCGCTATCAAAGTGTCAAGAAAACCATTACCCTTATGGCACTGTAGAGTTCTCGTTCACACTGCAGGCTTTGATACGAGACATTCTAGTGGAGAATGCAATCCAGCAGACTTTCTCGAGGCAAGTGTTGAAATGACCTTTAGGGGACCGCGTTGGCAGAGGGTCAAGAATCTACTGTGACATGAAGTATTTCATCCAACCACTGAGTTCTTTTAACGGATTGAACGCGTTGATGCAGTCATTCATTCACTGTCGCATTCGATTGCAGAGTATCGATCAATAAGCGTTCGAAAACAAAATATGCAAGTTACACACACACACACACATATACATACACACATTCAAGGCCATATACCATGCGACGTCACTAGTGATTAGGAGAAGTTTAGAAACAGCTGCAATTTCTAAGTCATGTGACGTGCGACCCAAGGTTATCGAATCATTGTGCTTTCGAAGTCAAATAATAGGCATGGAGTTTCATGGTGACGACTTTATTTGAGTTATCAACATGCACAAGCTGAAACTGCACACACACTAGTGGTGGAAAAGGTCCACGATTGGCTGTAATTTCCGAAGTCATGTGACGTGTGACCCAAAGTTATCAAATCGTCGCGGCTTTTGAAGTCAAATCATAGCCCCTACTCTGTATTATATTTCATGTTGTAGTCTGGATCATTCATCGTTCGCTTCGTAATTGTGCATAGGTTCGAAGCGCAGTGTTCAGTTTATATTCAGGCTTTTTCGCATTGCAAGATTGTGTATGATATGAATATAGTTAGAGTAGTGACGGCAGTAAATGACATGTACGTTTATTGGGTTATGCCGCCAAAAATTCAAACTTACGTCATTTTATTCATCATCATCAAAACAAAAAAAAGACAAACATCTATGACATATAGAACTTTTATTCTAAAGACATTTCATCAAATGCGTTCTTAATATCCAAGAAAATAGCTGCACATACTAAATAGCATATTCTGCGTTTTCTGTAACCTAAAATTTTCTGTTACTTTTGCTACAATAAAACACTTGAAAAAGATATTGTATAGCGAAACACGTGTGTATTGTGAAATAAAAGTACAGTACCTACACGTGAAAAATCATTCTCTTAAATGAATGACCACGCTCTCCTTCGACTCGAATTGACATACTTCATTGTCAAGAGTAATGGTCACATTTTCCACTCCTTGAAAAAATACCATTTCCCATTCAGCTGTTTTATCTCGATAATACTCAAAAAACTAAATCAAGTTGCACTTCAAAACAATTTTCCCATTAATATTGAAGAAAGATATGTATGAACACTGGGTATGGAATGGAATTTATGAAACTTTATGATATTCCCTTCGTTTAGAAGTTATATATGCCACACATATTTGACCAGTTGAAAGTTTGTGAATCAGAAATTTTTCATTATTTTACAGTGAAATCTGTTAAAATCGTGACATCAAGCTTATTCATTAATTGAAAGTTGATAATAGAATTCTCAACTGTTTGAAAATGTAATTCCAGAATACACATAGCTATGAATTACTCTCATCTGAAATAAGCGAAACATTTTAAACGGAAGAGACAATTTGACGTACTTACTAGTGTGTTATTATCAAATAGCATACCTCCGATTAGAGAGAAAAACGCCACTGTGAGAATTATACTACAACACAATCGTTTACTAACAAATTCTGATGTAGCAATATCACTTCTACTCAGTTGTACACTCAATATGCGTTGCATATTTTTAACTGTTGTTGAAAGTCTTGTCACACGTATGATATTGAATCAGTGAAAACACAAGTAGTAGCGAACTTGGTGTTTCGTAAATTGGCCACATTCCAAAGTTATCCAAGATTCCATGATACATCTAATCTTCTGTTATTTTTCATAAATGAAATTTAATTATAGCTGAGCCATTCTAATTTAACTTATACAAGTGAAAACAAAAATTGGTGGTTTGATATGATATGTGTGATAATTCACACAATAACTTAAAAAAATGATGAATTCAGAAAATTTTCTTCAGTTTTGGGCCATTTGTATTGATTTTGAAATGCCTTGTTACTCCCAAGCTAACACAAGTTTCGACTTCTGTGAGTTGTCGTTTGTAGGGGGCGATAGCTGGTTAACGGAAATATAGATTTTTAACAGATTTTATTAAATTTGTCAATAAATAACTGATTGGGATTTGTTACCACTAATAACAAAAACCTTACATTTTCGATAAATATAGATTCTAGAGTATAATTTTGTACCTCTCACTTACTTCACGCAACTACTTTCAAAATGGTGAAATTTCAAAGATTCTCTTCAATTTTGTACTAGTCATCTCAAATCCGTCAAGATTATCGTCAATATATTTTGTTGCAAGTTTTGAAAGAATATCTGATTTGGATTTCTTTTCACTAATGTGACGATATTGAATTGATGGATGCCGTTACTTAGTGGTAGGAGATCGTCATGAAAAATTATAATTAAAGCTTCATGTGTTTTTATACCCTTGTATTTGTAACAACCTAATGGCAATTTCATCTTTCAAGGACATTCTCAAACGAATACAATGAACGGAATAACTACCAATTTTACACCCTTATATACCTATAAAACCACAGTCGGTCCTTAATGCCTTTATTACCGGAATTTTGTTTACGTGTGACAATGTGGGTACGCTAATCCGAAAAATGTCTGCTAATAATAGGGAAATTGAAACAATTCTACAGATATGATAGAAAAATGATTTCAATGCAGACACAATCCAGAAGTTATTCAGAAAACAAAGCCTCAAATTTACGTATACCCCCAGATCAAACAATCAGAAATCAAGAAATTTGTAAATTCCAGAAATAACAATGCAGAAGTGGCATTCAGGCCACATGCCAGGTTATATAATCTCCTTTTCAATGCCAAATATAAATTGGGCAAGGTGGAAAAATCTGGAGTTTATAAGCTTAAGTGTCTGGAGTATAATATAGGGTTTATGTGGGACAATGTGATCGAAATTTCTCAAAACGGTTAGCTGAACATGAAAGGTCCTTCAGACTAGGTAAGAATTATTCGCAGTTTTCAAGCCATTCCTTATAATGTAAACACAAATTCCCGAATCTAAACGATACAGAAATTTTGCACTATGCAGGCAAAGGTTGAAACTCCATTATTTGGAATCCCTGGAAATTCACAAAACAAATGCATTGCGGATATAACATACCAAATTGATTTGGTCTACTCGCGGATTTTCAGATTAGCGTTTCCATTGACACGTAAACAAAATTCAGATAATAATGTCATCATTACCGACAGTGGTTGTATAAGTATATAAGTATGTACATTGTTGATTATTTCAGTTTATTGTATTTGTTTGAAAATGTCCTTGTAGGACGAAACGGCAGTAACGTCAGTTACAGATAAGTACAAGTGGTATAAGAACATAGGAAGTTTCAATTCTAATTTTCCATAGTGATGATATTGTATCATTTTATTGAGTAGAATTAACACATAACTAACACAAATCTTTGAGAAAATTATGAAATCTTGTTATTGTTTTCAATTTCATTTTATTTATATCAAATAATTTAAAAAAAATCTGTTTAAAATCTGTTTTTCCGTTAACCAGCTGTCGCACCCCTACGAACGACAACCCTCAGAAGTCTAAACTTGTGCGAGCTAAGGATTAACGAGGTCTTACCTTTTTAACGTGTGATTCCGAACACGGGAATACACGGATAACACGTTCCCAATATTGTGAATGTTTACAGTGATTGTAGCGAAATTATATGGAATTTTGTTATTCAAGTGTACAACTAAGTGCGTATTTCTCACAATTACTTCTCTTTTGTTTGAATATTTTGAATATTTACACAAATGCATAAATAAAATTTCACTGCAGTTTCTGGCTTTATGATGAAACTTTCAGTGTTGAAAATTTCAGTATCGGTAAAGGCACGTACCTCTGGGTCTCCAGGATTTTCACAAACACATCCATATATCCCAGAAATTATTTTCAGCTCTCTTAGCTATTTCACAATACGAATTCCGATTTCAAAAAGTTATCAGGTTTTCGATTTTCAATGAAAAAATAAAAAAACCTATGGAAAAAGAATCTCTGTAAGAGATAATACTATTCTTAGACACTAGTGTACATACCTTCGAATCCACGAAGGTTTTTTTTAACACTAAGTAATACGTTCAAGTAGAACTGGACAAGCCGAAAAAAATTATTATTTATGCAAATTCAAATCCCCGAATACTTTAGAGTTAAAAAATGATTCCATGCTAGTAACACTTATTTTCATAGTTGCAAAATAATTAGATGACCGATTTCCTTTTTTTTTTTGGAAAATTATCTCCGCTGTTAACCGTCCATCGTCTCCTCACAAAATGGGTGTAACTATTTTACAGGTCTGCAGTTAGCAAATTGTTATCAATAGACATTGCTCTCGTTATCTTGTAGTATGACAGAAATTATTGCAGGTCGGGTCTCCCAGATATGACTGGACCAGATTATTCATTTTCGACAGAAAAAAATCCCAACCCCAAATCTCAAAAAATTGAAATACATTGTGCAGGTTGGTGGAAATTCTTGCAGATCCAGTCTTCCAGACATGAATCTCGACTAGATTAATTATTTTTGACAAAAAAAAACTACCCTCTTCCTTTACGTATGAAAAAATTTCATATTTCTCATAAAATTGAAAATAAACCTTGCAAGTCAGCCTGCATATATATGCAGGTCGGGTCTGTCAGACATGAATCTCGGCCAGGTTAATCAGATTAGACAGAAAAAACTTCCGAATCCCACCCAAAAATTTTACAATTCTCAAAAAATTGAAAATACATTTCTCAGGTCGGCAGAAATTTTCGCAGATCAGGTCTTCCAGACATGAATCTTGATCAGGTTGATCATTTTCGACAAAAAAAATTTAAACACCCGCACCCTTCGAGTATAAAAAAAAATCACATTCATTATAAAATTGGAAATATACTTTGCAGGTCGGCAGAAATTCTTACAGGTTGGATCTCCCAGTTATTAATTTCGATCAGGGTATTCATTCTCGACAGAAAAAATTTCCAATATCCACCCAAAAGTTTCACAATTCTCAAAAAAATTGAAATACATTTTGCAGACCGGCAAAAATTCGCAGGTCCGGTCTGCCTGATATGAATCTCGACAAGATTATCTGGATACCTGGATGGTGAGTAGAGTTGGCAATAAATTATCATTATCTTCATCTATAAGTAACAATGAAGTATCATCAGTTGTTGAAGTTGGAGCAACTGAATTTTTTAGGGGTTTGTCTTTCTATTCCTAATATACATGCTTTATGGAACCAATGAGAACATTTTGCACATAACACAATTTTCTCTTCTATATTTTTGCATGCTATTCCCAAAAAGCACGACGAATATGTATTTTCATCCCAATAGTTGTTAATAACATGTTTTTAAATGTCATCTTTGGAATATTTCCATAATTTTGAGATTTTTTTTTTAAATTACGTTGGGTCGTTGAATATATTTTATGTCATGCACATTCTTATTTTTTCTTGTACCTTTACATATCATTGTTATTATGGAATGATAGCACTTCATCATTTCCGTCAATTATCAGTTCAGCAAACATGCATTCCTATGCCCCACAATCAAAAGAGTGTCCCCACCAGATATACCATCTGGCGGGCAGTAGAATGTTCATTCTTCCGGATCGAATTCTTCAGACTTGAGTTCATAAAACTGCTGATACGCTCCTAGAAAGCAAGATATTCCTCCTAGGATGGATTTTTATAATACCTAAATATGATGCAACTTTCTTTCTTCTCAAAAATGCAATTAGTCTGCAATGGGAGTTCTTCACAAGAGAAACAAGTACTATATCGTATTCAGGTATATCATATTTCAAAAAGTAATCCTGCATGTTACAAATTTTATTGGTAACATATGACTCTGTCGCAAATAATTCAACAAAAAGCTTCGTACTCCAATAATTGACTACAATCGTGAAATAGGCGTAAAAATAAAATCAATAAAATAATAATCATTGGGATTGTTGTTAACAGGCCAAACGGTCTGCCCCCAATCAAAAACTTTTTATTATTTTTAAAATTATAACTCAAAGTAAAATTGAGATAAATTGATGGATGTAGCCGTTACTACGTGGTAGGAAATCATAATGAAGAAAAAAGAAATGAAACTTTCTATGTTTTTAACCACTTCTATCTGTAAGTAATTAACGTAACTGCAGTTTCGTCCTATATAATAAACTTTATTGTATAAGTTTGAAAATGTCCGTATAGGATGAAACTGCAGTAACGTTAGTTACAAATAAAAGTGGTAAAAAACATAGAAAGTTTCATTTCTCTTTTCTTCATTGAAATTGAGATCTTCATCTTGTGATTGAAAACTATCAAGTTCTCATTCTTTTTCATCAGTACAGGAGGACAATGATGATATTCTTCTCTTTCAACCATTACTGGTATAAATGGCAATGAGAACGATAAAAATTCCATTGGCGGGGGGAAATTCTTGTTTTCTATTGGGTTTTGTTGATTCTGTTTATGTAGACGTCAATATCTGCGTACTCAAATTATTGTTGAAGTTTCTAAAATTGATAATTTTCCATAAATATTTCGACTAGAGTTCCAATTAATTTGTAAAATATGTAAATGTATTGAAAAAAAGAGCAATGTTATCCTCAAAACGTTTCTCCATGAAAATCCCTCAAAAGTTTTTTGTCCATTCTTTCATTTCGTTATAATTTGGAGGAAAAATATTTCTTTATATAGATTTCAAAAATATTCAAACTGAAAACATTT